ATAAATTTAATTAGTTTAAAGTTTAAATCTTTGAGATAAATTCAAATACAAATTTTTAAAATAGGAGACTAACAATTTGTCAAGTCCTATAAAAGAAAGGGACTGTGAATTATGTGCAAGAGGTTGTGATGAAGAATCATGTCCATATCTCCTTGACAGGATACTAATTGGGGATGTATAATTTTGATATGATGGAACTGGCGCTGTCACATCACATGCGATATTTTTTACGTATTATATAATATATTTAGAATGATGGTATGCTAACGTTCCTTTTAATATAATATTACAGAATGCTGAATGTTTCCAACCACCAAAAGTTAGTCTTCTCCATGATCATAACTAAATTCTAGATCGTTATAACTATTTTTATTTTTTCAAATGAAATATTTCAATTATCGTAGAAGACATAAATTATCTCCAAATTGTAATCCTTCTTTTGAAATTCACCAGATTCTTCTTCGTCATAAAGAAAAAACCGCAATTGCATGCCCCTCATTTGGCGAAGAACGACCATAAAACCCACTGTATTGGAGCCATTAAAGCAGCCCCATTCTTGCCTCTCCTTCTTCACCCCCTCACAGCCATTTTGTTGTCGTTGAATTGGAATTTTGATGATGAAGTTGAAATAAAACTGATATAAGTAGTTTTTTCTATTTAAAATTTTTAACTGAAGCGGTTGACAAAATCTATCAACAACATTACTGACGGGTGTCCTCAGTTATGTTTTTAATTTTTTATAAATAATAAATAATAAATTCTATTTTTTTGTGGTGCTGACATGTGTCATTTTTTCCCTATCCTATTATATATAGATAGAAGATTGGTAAAGAAAATATGGAAAAGGGTTAAATATACTCATGTAATATTCGAAATTGTTCAAAATATACCCTTCGTTATATCCACTCAATCGCACCCGCACCCGCACCCTCAACCCACCCACCTCCCGCTATCCTCCAACTCTCACCCCAATCACATCCCACCTCTATAGCATTTTATCAAGTATCATTAATCATCCAAATATTCTAATATGTATTTATACTTAGTCCCTGTATTGTTTACTTAATAAGTAATCCTAGATTTTGTTCAATTTTTTTAAAAGTCTTTTGAATAATTAGTTCCGTTAACTTGTCTCTAGTTTTTTGGAGCTCCGGCTTTGCTTTGCCAAGAAATGCCCTTGGCAAGAAAGAATATTTTTTTGTGAGTACTATTGAACAAAGTATACTTGCACATGACTTTAGGAATTGCATTGCACTATACAAGAAATATTTGTCTATCAAAGAATGTAACAAGTTCAATTCAATTATTCTTTACTTTCTTGAAAAATTTGAAATATTCTTTGACATTACTTTGTCCTCCAGCTAACGAACTAATCTTAACATATATAACCATGTCCCCTAAATTTGGTCATGTTCTTCAACCTTAAGAACAACATTAATCTCAACCATGTATCCTGTTAAAATGGATAACGCGCACGAGTTACCTGTTTATGTAGATCAAGACCATCCTGTAAGGAGACACCACTCAGCTCGATACTATGCTCACCATATTAAAGAGAGTCTAACTACTAGAGTTTCCAAAGTAGTTTGTACAATTTTCTTAACACTTCTTTCTATTCTTGGAATCATCGCGTTTATTTTATGGTTAGGTTTGCGCCCTCATCGTCCAAGAATTTTCCTACATGACTTTTCAATTCCAGCTATAAGTCATGGAATTGGACCTGAAAGTGCCCAAATCAACTTTAACGTAACAGCACGAAATTCAAATCAAGTTATTGGGATTTTTTATGATGCAATTCAGATGGCAGCGACTTATCAAGAACAGAGTATTGGAAATTCACAATTGTTGACTCCGTTTTATCAATTGCCCAAAAACACTACTGTTCTTGCGGGTACATTTTCTGGCCCCATGGTGACGGTGACCGGAACACAGTGGCAGCAAATGCTTGATGACCGGTCTCGAGGAACGGTGGTTTTCCGGGTAGAATTGACAGCCAGGATTCGATTTAAGATATGGTCGTGGAAAAGTAAACATCATAGGATGCATGCTAATTGTCCTGTTGGAGTGGGACAAGATGGTATGATCTTGGTTGGTTACATAGATAAGAGATGTCCGGAATATTTTAATTAGACATTTCGATTCATGTTTTCGTCTCATTGAATTTTCGTTTTTTGTTTGTATTTGATTGTGAAAAGCAGTACATGCTTTCCCTGCCAAAATTACTCTAAAAGGCAAGGGCATCCTCTGTTTTTATCTTCCTCCTGCATCTCGTAGGCCGAGAGATCTTATTTATTCCACCGGAACCCTGGGCACATCCGATAATCATAACTAGATTGTATGGAATCACTTAACAAAGGGGCGGGCCTTAATTAGATTGTGTACTATTGACATTTTCACAATATAAAAGCTGGAAAAGATGAATAACAAATATAACATGATATAATAACTATTTGTTCTGCTTCATCTTTAAGTTTTCGACCAAAAAAAATTATTGACTTAAAAGTAGACATTGTCCTTTCTACATTTACTTTCCAGCGTCATTTTGGTGTAGGCATATGAATATCCAACCAATTAATTTGTTTCTTTAAAAAAGTGCCCTTTAAATAGCTGAATAGATCACAACCATGCAATGCAAATAAAGTACTTTTTTGGCTATCCTTCCTACTAAGGTTTCTAATCAAACTATATATAACAGCACGATCAATTATAAATATAGTCTTCATGAACTTCAAAAGATACATCTTTTGCTTCTTCAATTTCTTGAACTTTGTACTAGTATTTGACCAAAAATGAATAATCGAAGGATATTTAAAGATTCTTTCGATCTCTACTGTTGGTTCTTCCAAGTTGTAGCTGTCTTATGTTTGACCTCTGTTGTCATGTGGCTTTGTTTGGTTCCAAAAAATCCAATTTTCACAATAGTTGATTTCTCCTTTCTTGTCTTCAACATCAAGAATTCTTCTCTCCATAGTGGCAACAATTCTGTCCTCTTAAACCTTGAAATTTTCAATCCCAACAAAGGTACGAGCATTTACTATAATGAAATCAACTTCGCTTTGAATTACAATGGTCTTGTTGTGGGGGAATATTCTACAAAAGGTATCTACCAAGGCCACAAAAATATTACAAGAAAGGACGTCCAAATGTATATTGTTGATGAGCTATTTTGGCAAGAGATTGGCAGTAGGAGTATCAATTTCATTCTTGTCTTGGAAACTACAGTTAAGTTTAAGATATTTGAATGGAGGACAAAGCAACGAGGGTTAAAATATGTGGCATATATGAGTAATGTGACTATGAGTAACAATGGAACAATATCTAGTGAAAAGCTTGTTAAATTGTACCACAAAAGTTTGCACTTGTGACATCAATCAACTGGAACTTGTTTTGTGTTTTGTTACATATATCGAAACTTCTTATTAAGGTCATGTGGTAAATTTAGCTTACTTAATGCACTTTTTGAAGGAGATATAGGACTTACATTTCATTCCCAAATTTCTAAAAGACCAAAAGATTCAATTTTTTAATTTATGTTATTCTACAAATATATACTAATTAAGCCAGATATTACGAGTTCTTTATCAAGATTAAGGCATGTGTTTAGGCAAAAGCTTCAAACTCTTTCTTTCACCATTTGTTGTCCTGTTGGGACTACTTGTCTTAATTCTATGGCTATGTATGCGTCCAAAAACTCCTGTTTACATTCTTCTTGATTTTTCTGTTCACTTCAACGACAATGAAAGTGAAATTGTTACTATGTTTCTTGTCATCAAGATTTGGAATCAAAATCATAAAGATTGGGATATTTACTATGACGATGCTTTCGTAACATGTTATCATAATCAAGACACTGTTGGAAAGACAACAATACCTCGTTTACATCAAAAGAGACATAAGACAACCACATTTTTGCAATTACAGCTAATTGTTGATAGGAGAAAATGGAGTTCGCTAATAAAATGTACAGCAGACAAAAGTACTGCTAAATTGCAGGTGGATGTGGCGACTAGGATTAAGTATCGGCTGTTGGGTATTAAGATCAAACACCATTCGCTAAAATTGAGTTGTCGTTTTTCAGTTGGATCAGATGGTAATATTTCAGGCAAGAAAAAGGTCAGATTGCAACGTAGACCAGCAAAGTGGAAAATCAGACGATCACTAGACGAAATCTGGATATAGAATGATGGGGTTCAGAATGAGTATAATCAAATTACATGTATACATTTTAAAATTTTTGCTACGTATGTATACATATTTCTATCTAAATGCTGTTTATGGCATGAACAAATGCTTCACCTCTATAAACGATTAGACATTATGCAGAATGATCAGTAGAGGAGTAGAATGCTAATAATCTGGATAGACCAATCGTATCAACGAGAGTTGAATGCAGGATTTAAGATTTATAGGTTGAAATCTTTAAAGTTTTATTATTGAACCCATTAGATATTTAAAGTTATATGCTCATATCTACTTTTTATTGTAATTTTATACATAAATTTTATAGTCAGTGTTGAAGTAGTGTGTTCAGATAAACCCGGTACTCCAAAGCAGCATGTGCCCCTGCAGGCTAGGTGGCCACTTCTGTTGCTAATTGGTTTTGTGAATTCAATTTGAATCAATTTAATACAAGGAAAAAAGATAATAAGATACAAATCAGTTGGATTACACTTACTGGAATCTGATAAAGTTTGAAACTTTCAAAGAAGAGCAAGTAGCACCCAAAAATTCCCTCCTAGTTGCCTTATTGTCATCCACTACAATCCATAAATTAGAGTTGAAATCCATAAACTCTAAGAGTCAATTTGTCAAGACTAAAAAATAGACCAACAGCGTGTTAATTTGTCAACTATTACACATTTAGCACTGGCCACTGAATTACTATCAATCTTCCTACCAATTGTAACCAATCAATTATAGTATGTATTACATTTTCTTCAAAAATATCTAATTAAGCTTCTATATATCGAGCAACTTGAGCTGCCATAACCACGAAGACCATGGCTATTCAGAAGTGGCTACTCTTTCTTTTTTTGGCATATCCATCTTTATAATACTCCCATCCTAGCGCAGCTGTCCGATTTAAAATACGTTCAGTGTGGTGGCAATGGTAACTATACTGAAGATAGTGCATACCAGAACAATCTAAAAACCCTCCTCTATTCCCTTTCCTTAAATGTCGATGAATATGGTTTCTACAATGCTTCCATTGGCCAAAACAGCAACAAGGTCAGTGCTATTGTGATGTGTAGAGGAGATATAGGGCTTGATCGATGTCACTATTGTGTCGATAACATTGGTCAAAAGCTTGTAGAGATATGTCCTAACCAAAAAGAAGCTAATGCTGCCTATGATGAATGTTCGTTGCAGTACTCCAATCGATCCATCATAAACGATACTACATCATTTCCTACTCTATATTATTTCTGGAATCATGTGAATGCCTCACAACCGGAGGAATTCAACAAGGATCTCGAAATATTATTGGTTGATTTGCGAGACCAAGCTGCAAATGGTGGTGATCCCCGTAGAAAATATGCTAGTGGTAATGCGACAGGCCCAGATTTTCAGACTATATATGCACTTGTGCAGTGCACTCCTAATCTATCTCCTCAGAATTGCTTCGATTGCTTAACTGGCGCTTATGGGACTATGCCTAGCTGTCCCTGCAAGGGAAAGACTAGTGGCAGAATTATAGGACTTAGCTGCTATTTCCGTTATGAAACTTATCGTTTCTTCACTGACGTGCCATTGAAAGCTCCGCCACCTGCAGGTGAATTACATTATATATTCTAATTAGTTTCTTTTAGTCTGTTTCATAAAGAATATCTCTTTATCTTTTTGGCAACTATTTAATTCTAAAATTCACTTTAGACCACAAAATTAGAAGAGGAGTATAAACTAAACTTAAAGATGGTTATGCTAACTTGAAGCCCCCCCTTTTTTTTGTAGGGAATCATAATAAAACAGCTCCAACAGGGAATGGTGGTAAAACAGCTCCAATCATAAGGAAGGATGATAAGAAAACTCGACTACCCGTTAATATTATCATAATTGTGCCAACTATTATAGTTATTATTCTTACTGTATTAATTTTTGTCATTATAATGAAGAAGCGAAAGAGGAAGCTGGTGAACAAAATTCAGAGTAAGATAACGTAGATTATTAAGGAATATTGAACTTTTGAGACCTGGCTCATGTTTCACTGAATATTAATTGGTTGGTGAAGGTACACTCGGCGATGATATTAGCACTGCAGAATCCTTGCAATATGAATTTTCTACAATCAGAGAAGCGACAAATAACTTCTCAATTGATAATAAACTGGGAGAGGGCGGATTTGGTCCTGTGTACAAGGTAATAAGGCCTGTTTGATGAAAAATTCATACAAAAGACTCAACTTAATTGCTTGGGATAATGAGGCTTTTGTTGTTCAATTCATAACTGATCCATTTGTCATTTTGTGCTTGTCTAATCCGCAGGGTACACTTCAAAATGGACAAGAAGTAGCAGTGAAAAGATTGTCAGCAGATTCAGGCCAAAGTGAACTAGAATTCAAAAATGAGGTTCGGTTGGTTGCCAGGCTTCAACACAGGAATTTGGTTAGGTTGAAGGGATTTTGTCTAGATGGAACAGAGAGACTTCTTGTCTACGAATTTGTTCCCAATGCAAGCCTTGACAAATTTTTATTTGGTATTTATTGCTTAACTTATTATCGAACATGGAGCTTCAGCATCAATTATTTGTGATTATTCTGAAGTGACTTGATGTGAAAAAATAATTATATAATGTTAATGTAGAGAAATTTAACTCCTAAGTTATACTCATTATGTTGTCCCCAGATCAAGTTAAACGTAGGCAATTGGATTGGGGAAGGCGATCAACAATCATTGGAGGTGTTGCTAAGGGAATTCTTTACCTTCATGAGGACTCTAGACTTCGCATCATTCATCATGATCTCAAAGCTAGTAATGTTCTGCTTGATGCAGAAATGAATCCTAAGATTTCAGACTTTGGCATGGCAAAGCTATTTAAATTGGATGAAACTCATGGCAACACAGACAGAATTGTTGGGACCTAGTAAGTTTTACATCTCTCATTAAATAAACTGTTAGTATATTTTGTATATCATGGGGGTTTGGGACCTTAAAAGTTTTCCACATGTTTTGGTTTTGCAGTGGTTATATGGCGCCAGAGTATCTACACGGGCAATTTTCAGTCAAATCTGATGTTTTTAGCTTTGGAGTACTAGTCCTTGAAATTGTAAGTGACCGAAGAAACAATTGTTTCATAAATGGAGAATCTACGGAAAGCCTATTGAGCTATGTAAGTAACCCGCTAGACTTGATATTAGTATATGAAATTGTATTAGTCTTTGGTAAACTATATTTATTCAAAAGTATTTAGCTTTTAAAGAAATTAATAAGCACTTGTATAATTGAACTGTTACAGGCTTGGTCGAATTGGCGTGAAGGAACATCTTCAAATTTGATCGACCCCATGTTGACGGGAAGCTCAGGACCGGATCGTGACATAGTGAGATACATCCACATAGCTTTATTGTGCGTTCAAAAAGATGTTGCAAATAGACCAACCATGGGTGCAGTTGTTCTCATGCTCAATACTCACTCTTCAAGTCTTCCACTTATTGAAGAATCCAATTCAAGAATAATGGCACAGTCAAGTAAACTAGCCAAAAGTAAATCAAATTGTTCATCACGAAATGAGGCATCCGTGTTAAAGAATGACAAATGTCCCACATCGATGGTTAATGAGATGGGTGAACTCCTTATAAGGCTTGGGTAATCCTCCTCCCTTTGAGCTAGCTTTTGGGGTGTGAGTTAGGCCTAAGACCTAATTTAACATGGTATCAGAGCAGGGCCCATCTCACCCGATGTTGGGGCCCCCAAAATCAAAATTGCCCACGCACCAGATGCTAAGCACTGGACGTGAGGTGGGGTGTTAAAGAATGACAAATGTCCCACATCGATGGTTAATGAGATGGGTGAACTCCTTATAAGGCTTGGGTAATCCTCCTCCCTTTGAGCTAGCTTTTGGGGTGTGAGTTAGGCCTAAGACCTAATTTAACAATCCGTAACTGAGTTATATCCTCGATAACATCCTTCGATATAATAGGCTTTTCTTCTATGTTTTCATATTTACATTGTTATCTGTTCGAACCACACAATTAGTCAGGGAATATTGCGATTGATTTATCAATGTTTTTGTACTAATTTGCTTCATAAGTATTATTGTTGATCGGATGAAAAAAAAGTTTAAAATGTTGAGTTCTAACAAGTTTAATTGTTCGGTTGGCAAGGTCGAAAACGCAGATCGGGGACAAGTACAAGGTTCTCTCAAGCCGTTGCATCTTTTTCAAAATCACTTTTAAAAGTTTGATTAAACACTAGTTGTTGTTCTAACGTGATTTTTAAATTGACTAATCAATCTTCTTACTGAATTTACTTTTTTTTTTAAAAACACTTTTAAATTATTACTAATTTTATAAGCTTGACCAAACTAACTTCATACACGTTTAAGAGAAATCAGCTATTTTTATGTCCAAACACCTACTTAATGTTTTGTGAATTCACTATGAATCACCCATGGGACATGATATGAAGATATTTGCAGTACTGGTAATCTAGAAGCCAAAATACAAGAGAAATCATAGTGGACTGTGGAGTGAAATTTAAAGCACTAGGGGAAAAAAAAGAGAGAGAAAAAAAACATTAAAAAAGAAGAAAAAAAAAGGTAGTTGAAGAAAATTAGTTGGATTTCGTTATCTGGATTAATCATATAAAGTTGATGAGCAAGTAGGGGCCAAAATTTGCCAACTTGGTGGATTCTTGTTATCCACTCCTCTCCCAATTCCCATTACGACCATAAATTAGAGTTGTTCAATTCCATAAATTCTAAGCTGAAAATTGGCAAGTTTAAAGATACTTTCTCCATCCCATATTAACTGTCCATATTACTAAAAATAATTGTCATAAATTACATGTCAAATTACAAAGCCAATACAAAGTTACTTACATTTTTCTCATTTTACTCTTACATTTAATTGTTCTAAAAATGTGTTAAGTCCCCAAAAAGTTTCTTAAGAGTAAATTAGTAAAATTATTCTTCTTATTTATATTTTTTCAAGGAGTGTGAAAAGAAAAAAAGTGAACAACTAATATGAGACGGAGAAAGTATAGACCAAGTTAAAAGTCTGCGTTCCCTATTCCATTTGCATGTGGCATTTTTATCATATTGGTTTATTTTACTCATCTTTTGCTACTCCACTCAAAAGGTTATTTAAGCTGGAAAGTGACCACTATGTTTAATGACCTGACGCATGATTTGTTAAGCCAAAAAATAAAATAAAAATGAAAGCCAATTCATTTTACCTTTGATCTCAAAATATCTAAGCTTCTATATATCAAAATGCAGCTAACTAGACAGCCATGACCATAGCTATTCAGAGGGTGCTACTCTTTCTTTTTTTTGCATATACATGTTCATTTTCTCAATATTGTATCGGCTTCGCAGCTTCCTGATTTACGTTACAGTTCATGTGGTACCAATGGTAACTATACTGAAAATAGTGCATGCCAGAATAATCTTAACACACTCCTCTCTTCCCTTTCCTCAAAAATCGATAACAATGGTTTCAGCTATGCTTCCGATGGCCAAAGCGCCGACAAGGTCAGTGGTATTGTGCTATGTAGAGGAGATGTGGAGCTAGAACAATGTCGCATTTGTGTCAATAACATTGCTCAAAAACTTTTACAGTTATGTCCTACCCAAAAAAGAGCAATTGGTGGCTATGATAACTGTTCGTTGCAGTACTCGAATGATTCATCCATTTTAGAAACTACATCATTTTCTCTTCAATATTACTTTTCGAATCCTGCTAATGCCACAAAACCCGAGGAATTTAACCAGGAACGGAGTAAATTACTGGAAAATTTACGAGATCGTGCTGTAGATGATGGTTCCTCACTTAAATATGCTACTGGTAATGCGACAGGTCCAGATTTTCAGTCTATATATGCACTTGTGCAGTGTACTCCTGATTTATCTCCTCAGAATTGCCTCAAATGCTTAACTGTGGCTTATGAAAATATGCCTAATTGTCCCTGCAACGGCAAGAGGGGTGGCAGAATCATTGTGTCTAGGTGCAATCTCCGTTATGAAAGTTCCAAATTCTTCTATGTAGCGTTGGGATCTCCTCCACCTGCAGGTAAATTACATCTTTCCACGACATATGTACCTAAGTAGATACATAAAAAGAATTAGACATACACATGAACGGATGTATTGAAACATAATTAGGTAAATGAAATATGTCATCTCGACTCTAAGTACAATAATTTAACTTTTTTCCCGACTTGTGTGGAACTGAGAGTAATTGTTCTTGTCGTCTAACAACTTAAAAACTTTAGATTGGAGGATCACACAGTTCATCACCATCATAACACAAAATTTGACTTGTGTTAAAGACGAGCATATTAAATTAGAGGTATAACAATATTGTATTTGTGATATTTAATACGTATGTGTAGTTTCTGAAATAACCTGAAAGGGAAGATAGTAACTTATTTTCACATGAGTTATTAAAAACTGAGAATATTATACTAACTTGAAGCATTTTTTAAGGAAATGATGATAAAACAGCTCCAATGGGGAATGATGATGAAAAAGCTCCAACAGGGAATGATAATACAGCTCCAATAGTGCAGGATGATAAAAAAGCTCGACTCGTCATTATTATCATTGTGTCAAATGTTATAGTTGTTATTCTTACTGTGTGTATTTCTGTCATCTTAATGAAGAAGCGAAAGAGGAAGCTGGTGGACAAAATTCAAGGTAAGATAGCGTATAGTATTTGTATGATTAAGGAAAGTTGAATTTTCACTATATACTCTATTTGTTATTACTTGTACTTTGGTGAAGGTACACTCGGTGATGATATTAGCGATGTAGAAACCTTGCAATATGATTTTTCTACAATTAGAGCAGCAACAGACAACTTCTCAAATGCTAATAAATTGGGACAGGGAGGATTTGGTCCTGTGTATAAGGTGATTAGGCCTGCATGATGTATAAAATGGACATTGACAATTCATACAAAAGATCGACCACAACTTAGATTGGGGTTGAGGCTTCGTTGTTGATGAAATTATAATTCATTCTTCAATTTGTGCTCTTCTTCTTCAGGGCAAGCTACCAAATGGACAAGAAGTAGCAGTGAAGAGATTGTCAGCAGATTCAGGCCAAGGTGATCTAGAGTTCAAAAACGAGGTCTTGTTGGTAGCCAAGCTTCAACACAGGAATTTGATTAGGTTACTGGGATTTTGCCTGGATGGAACAGAGAGACTTCTTGTCTATGAATTTGTTCCCAATGCAAGCCTTGACCAATTTTTATTTGGTATGTATTGCTTAATGTTTTGTCAGTGTAATTTGACATGTTGACTGCAGTAAGGTTATCTGCCTTATTTTAGTTCCGGAAAATAAGTCCACAACTATGAATTGGGAAAGGCAATCATAATAAGTTATATTCTTCCTCGTATCTCCAGATCAAGTTAAACGTAGCCAACTGGATTGGGAAAGGTGATCCAAAATCATAGGAGGCATAGCTAGGGTAATTGTTTATCTTCATGAGGATTCTAGACTTCGCATCATTCATCGTGATCTCAAAGCTGAAAATGTTCTACTTGATGCAGAAATGAATCCTAAAATTGCAGACTTTGGCATGGCAAGGCTATTTAAATTGGATGAAACTCAATGCAACACAAACAGAATTGTTGGGACCTAGGAAGTTTAACATCTCTCATTAGGTAGACTGTTATTTTTCATATCATTATAGGAAGCATTCTTTAATCATTTTTAGAAAATAGAAACCTCGATATGAAAACAAATCTTTCCTTGAAATGTTACCAGGATTTTCAAGATGAATTCTGTCATGGTAATTTCTTAAGAAATGGTTACCTCAATTTTGTTGAGCTTACTTGATTGAACGAAACATTTGTTCCAGAAAGGAGATTCTGTGGAAGACCTTCTGAGCGTTGTAAGTAGCCACCTGGTCAATCAATCAATTAAGTATTCCTCGATCAATTCCAAACTAGTTTACTAATCGACACATTCAAAAGAAAAATTAATTGCTATTTAGACCAACACTTTGTATATATAAACATTGCCATCAAATGTCTTTCTCAAGAGGAACGTAACGCATCATGTGAATCAGAGGTAGTATAATTTATGATTTTGTGTGTCCTGATCTATCTCAGGTTTGGTTGAACTGGCGCGAAGAAACAGTTTCAAATTTGATAGACCCTATGCTGAGGGGAAGCTCAGGACCTGTTGGTGACATAATTAGATACATCCACATTGCTTTATTGTGCATTCAAGAAACTGTTGCTAATAGACCAAACATGGGTGAAGTACTTCTCATGCTCAGTAGTCGCTCTTTGAGTCTTCCAGTTCCACACAACGAAGTAAACCCACAGATTTTACACTTTGGAGATGCCAATTCAACAATTTCCGAAAATAAATCAATATGTTCTTCAGGAAATCAGGATTTGATAACTGAGCTGCATCCTCGATAAAACATCCATACATATAGTGCTAAAAGTCTCTCTATATCTAATATGCAAACGTATATCATTCATTCATAGGTCTGGTGTAAACCCCGAATGCGAATATGTTGTTACTTAGTAGATTTTCTTATTTACTTTGCTATTTGTTCGAACCCAATTAGTTAGGGGTTCTTGCGATTGATTTATCAATGATTCTTTTGTTGTTGGACTAATTTGCGTCATAAGTATTACTTATTGAACTTGTAAAAGTGGTGTAGTTTTTCAATAGTAATGGAAATGTATTTTTGCCCCTATTTATTGAGACGGGTAAGCTGAAATTCTGAATAATTACAGATTCGTACCAATTTGTAAAATTAATAATTGAGGTATAGTTTTAAAATAAAGAATACTGGCTTAGTTGAATTAATTAAAAAAGAAGAAAATTCTAACTGAGCAAACATTTAGCAAAATATCATGGATGGCATGTTTAGCAAAAAATTTTTTATAATACTATCGACAACCATAATTTATTAGCATTGTTCAAATATTTGTTAAAAAAGTAATTTATACCTTAGGATGGTCTTATTACTACCGTGAACTATTTTAAAATAAAATAAATATATATTTAAAATCTTGTAAGATATAGGTGTATATAATTGATAATAATTGACTAATAGATTAACGAATTTGACATCTCCCATTAATTATACGTCAAGTTTATAGATGACTCATTCTTTCTTTAACGAAAAAATTAGATGATTAAGTAAACATATATTAGTTAATAAATCATCATATCTATAGTTTTAGTTAATTATCACTCGCGACCATTACACGGGTTAGAATTTCGGGTTTGTATAATTTGAAATTTGTATAATATAATTTGTATAACTTTTATATAATGTAATTTTGTATAATATAATTCATATAACTGTTTAAAGTTCATATGTTTGTATTTGTATAAATTAGTTATTTCGAATTTATACAGAAATAGCTCAATTATACAAATGTACCCGCTAATTATGCAAACTGTTGCTATGGAACATAATTAAGTTTATTACAGTGGTTACTTATGAAAATAATAGTAAACAAATAAAATATATAAATTAATCAATACTCTTTCCATCTTTTTTGATTGTCATGTGTACTAAAAAATTATTATTTTTTAATTTTGTCTCTAATACTAATTATTCTTATATATATATATATATAAGATTTTATTATTAATTTTTTCTTAGAAGTGTGTTAAATCCTTATTATAATAACTAAAACGAAGAGGAGACGAAGGGAGTAACTTTCAGCTTCATCTAGAATATCGAAGAATATAGTTACTCCGAAAAACATGCCTCATCCATAATAGTTTTTTTCTACTTACTACCCCCTTGGGTGACCAAGAAGCGGTCATTATTTTCCCCCCTTGATGGCTTGTTATTATCCACTCATGTCACATCACTGCCATAAAGTAGAGCCGTAGAAATTCCATTAATTGATCTAGGGTATGTTTGGTATGAATGGAACTATTTTGTGCTGAAATATTATTAAAAAAAATAAATGAGTTTTTAATTATTATTTTGTGTTTGGTGTATAAGTAAATATCATTTCAAAAATATTTATATATATATTAAAACAAATGATATCTGACGTAAGGACCGTGTTGTGGGCAGATAGGTGCAGGATGGGATAAATATGAGATATATTGAAGGGTGAAAATGACAATATCACTCGTAGAACTTGATTTTTTCTTTAAAAAAAGTCATTTTTCTCCTAATTATTCCTCTACAAAAGATATTTTTCAAAAATATTCACAAATGCACCCTTAAAAGTCAATTATTCAACCAAACGATATAGACCAAGTCAAACGTTGGTACTATTCCTGATTAATTCCATACATGACATTATTTCAAACGAACTACAGTTTGTTTAAAAGAAATTTGATAGTATTTTCTTATATTTTGTATATAAAAATAATTTCATTTTATACTTTAACAACCATACTTTTATTATACAAGATAAATGTTACAGCATATTTAAGATTACTACAAATAATTTTAAAAGCTCTTTTTTCTTTTAAAATTTGAATCCAATCCAACCGAGTGTTAGGTTTGCAGCTAGCCTTCAAATATCAATGTCCTTTTCTTGCTTAACTAATACTCCCTCCGTCCCATTTTATGTGAGGTACTTTGACTCGGCACGGAGTTTAAGAAAAAAAAAAAAAGACTTTTAAAATTTGTAATCCAAAATGAATGATAGAAATTTGTGTGGCTGTAAATCATTTCATTAAGGATAAAATAGATATTTTATAGTCAAATTGTTACTTAATATAAAAATGCTTTATTCTTTTTTAGATTAACTAAAAAGAAAAGTAAGTCACATAAATTAGAACAGAGGGAATATGTCAGAAATTGTACTGCCAAGACAAATGTAGTTGACTACACCCCGGTCAATACGTTATCTCCAACTCTTTTTACAAGCTCTTCCTGTTCTAGGTTCTATTTTACATATTCAGCACTGATATCAAAATTTGCTTGCAACTTAAACAGACATAGCTGCCATGGCTATTCAAAAGTGGCTACTCTTGATGTTTTTGCATTTACATGTTCTCAATATTGTAGCGCAGCTGCCTGATTTACGATTCGGCACATGTGGTGAGAATGGTAACTATACTGAGAATAGTACCTACAAGAACAATCTAAACACACTCCTCACTTCCCTTTCCTCAAAAATAGATAACTATGGTTTCTACAATGCTTCTATTGGCCAAAACTCTGATAGAGCCAGCGTTATTGTGTTATGTAGAGGAGATGTGGAGCTAGACGATTGTCGCGGTTGTGTCGATAATGTTGTTCAAAAGATTGCACAGTTATGTCCTAACCAAAAAGAAGTTTTCGGTGGCTATGATGAATGTATGTTACAGTATTCGAATCAATCCATTATAGATACTCCATCGTTGTCTGTTCGATATTTTCTTTGGAATCCTGCGAATGCCTCAAAACCCGAGGAATTTAACCAGGAGCTAAGAAAATTATTGGAAAATTTACGAGACCGTGCTGCACAGGGTGGTCCTCTTCAAAAATATGCTACTGGTAATACGATAGGTCCTGATATTCAGTCTATATATGCACTTGTGCAGTGTACTCCTGATTTATCTCGTCAGAGTTGCTTCAATTGCTTAACTGACGCTTATGGAACCTTGCCTCAATGTCCCTGCCTGGGAAAGAGGGGTGGAAGAATCATAGGGGTTAGGTGCAACTTCCGTTATGAAAGTTCCCGTTTCTTCGAGGATGTGCCGTTGGAAGCTCCACCACCTGCAGGTGAACACATTTTTATTCTTCCTTTTGCTAATCCCAATTTTATCAATATCCAATTTTGATTGAGACTGTTGAAGACATAATTAATTAAATAAAAATCAAATAGTTTTAAGTTTTTAGATGAGATATATAGTAACACAATTCAATATGGTTCTTCATTCAAATCTCTTTGTCACCATCTATCAAGAAGATTTACTGTTTGCTTGACTCATAAAAGAGAATCAGGCTCGCACTTTAGGTGGCGTGTTGAAGACATCAAGTATAAGTCTTTTTTTCTTTTCATCTGATTGATAAAATCCTAAGAATGGAGAGGTTTCGTATCTATCAATTCGATCAAATAGACTGAGAAATTGTCACCGTTTATAGAGATTGAAATGAGTGCCTTCCCATCACTGATCATCTCCTACCTACCCCATTCTATGAGACTGATGCAACATAAATCAAAAGAAGGGGGTGTCCTAGTTTTTTTTTAGTTTTATGAAATGCAAACTGTCTAGGCACAAAGCCAAACAAGTCCGATCCTGTTCTTGATCCAATGTGGAGACAAGGTATGTTCGTTATACCCTTCATGACTCGTTTAGGAATAACCAATTCATGGGGAAAAAGACAAGTGTACTATGTATAACAACTTATGCCTTTAGATGGGATAGATCATACAATTCAACACAACCACAAATCTTTGACATAAGTTAAGGCTGGAGGAACATACTATATTATAGGACCAATTGTATTTGTGATATTCAATAAGCAATACGCAAAGTTTCTTAGTTATTCTTAAAAGCAAAGTAAGACAAGTGAATTGGGAATGAGAAGATATTGTACTAACTTTAAGCTTCTTCTTTTTTTGTAGGAAATGATAATAAAACAGTTCCAATAGGGACGGAAAATAAAACACCTCCAACTGGGAAGGATGATAAAACAACACGAACAATTATCATTATCATTGTGTCAACTGTTACAATTGTTATTCTTATGATTTGTATTGCTGTCATCTTGATAAGGAGGCGAAAGAGGAAGCTGGTGAACGAAATTCAGAGTAAGCGTAAACTATAAACAAACAATAATTCAGGAAAGTTGAATTATTAAGACCATGTTTCACTAATTTGTTGTAAGCTATTACTACTATGTTCGTGAAGGTACATCGGTAGATGATACTAGTATTGCAGAATCTTTTCAATATGATTTTTCGGCAATTAGAGCAGCAACAGATGACTTCTCAGATGCTAATAAGCTCGGAGAAGGCGGATTTGGTCCTGTGTACAAGGTAATTAAACTTACATATTGTAGCATGATTTTAACTTCTATAGTACAAATATTCTTTCCACTGAATATGAGTACTTGTTATAATTTCATTGTTTTAGTTCATATTTTTTCAATTTGTTTTCATTTATATTTTAGGGTAAGCTTCAAAATGGACAAGAAGTAGCAGTGAAAAGGTTATCAGCAGATTCAGGCCAAGGTGATCTAGAATTCAAAAATGAGGTCTTGTTGGTTGCCAGGCTTCAACACAGGAATTTGGTTAGGTTGCTGGGATTTTGCCTAGACGGAACAGAGCGACTTCTTGTCTATGAGTTTGTTCCCAATGCAAGTCTTGACCAATTCTTATTTGGTATGTACTGCTTGACTTTTTATCAATATTGAGCTTGAGCATCAATAAGTTATGAATTTAACTTATATACAAAAGTTAGGGGTGTACAAAATTGAATCGAAAATCGAACTAAAACGCAAAGTGAGTCAAACAGAAAAAAAAACCCGACTAGTGGTTTGGTTTGATTTGGTTTGGTATTGAAAAAAAAACCTGACTGTATTTGGGTTGGTTTGGTTTCAACTAAAAAAAATCAACCCGAGGCCAAACCAACCCGACATTATATATATAATTTTAAAATTTTATTTTATACGTAAAAATATTTAGTTTGATATAATTTTAAAATATTTGTTATACTTTTTCATAGTTTTTATCTTTTAATATATTATTTCATGTTTGAAAGTTAGAATTCTTAATGGTTCAATAAAGATTATAGTCCATAGATGTTGATAATTATAATAAAACTTAAATCAAAATCGAATTAATACTAATGCAAAAAGAAAATCCATTCAACACTAAGAATGACAATAATATTGAATATTTGTTCTTTAGTTTTACAAAAGTTTAGACAATTAAAATACATAATCTAATTTTAATTTCCTTTAATACTTAGTCATGTAACTAATGCTTATTAAACTTATTTTAGCATGATTTAGTACTTTTAAATTATGATTATTTCATTATTACTTATTAATTTGCAATATTTGTTTTAAGCGATTTCATTATTATTTTTTTGTTGGATATTTTAATGTCATTAATCATATCATATTTTGTGTTATTTTCTTAAGAAACACCTTAGATAGTTATATTTTGGTAGGACTAAATAAATATTTGAACTACAAGTAAATTATATGTTTGTATAAATACTTTACCAGAAAAACCCGAAAATCCAAAAAACCCGAAAAATCTGAAAAAATCTGAGGTTGAAAAACCCGAATTTTATTGATTTGGTTTGGTTTATAAATTCAAAAATCCGACACAAATGGTTTGGTTGATATTTGAAAAACCCGAACCAACCCGGCCACGTACACCCCTAACAAAAGTTATTCTGTCAATGTAATTCGATATCTTGTCTGGTTGTCTGCCTTATTTACCATAGAACTAATTGCACTTATAATGAGCAGTTGCCTGTAGTAACATTTTAAGTGACTTAGAATTATTTGTTTTTTTCATATTTTTCATCTTGTTCGCAGATTCAGTTAAACGTAGGCAATTGGATTGGGAAAGGCGATCCAAAATCATAGGAGGCATTGCTAAGGGAATTCTTTATCTTCATGAGGATTCTAGGCTTCGGATCATTCACCGTGATCTCAAGGCTAGTAATGTTCTACTAGATGCAGAAATGAATCCTAAAATCTCAGATTTTGGCATGGCAAGGCTATTTGAATTGGATGAAACTCAAGGCAGCACAAACAGAATTGTTGGGACCTAGTAAGTTTTACCTCTCTCGTTGGATAGACTGTTATTAGCATTTTGCTATGAAGGATTATTTAACAACTTGGTTAGAATAAAAGCTGCCTCGAGACAAAAGAGAATCTTTCTTTGAATTGTTATTAGAATTTTCAATATGAATTTTGCTCATCATTGTACTATCTCTAGGAATGCTTACCTCAATTTTGTTGAACTAGGACTTTGGTGGTGTACAAACTCAGTATTATTCAAGATGATGGTTATATACCTAGAGTTTTGTTCTCAATTTGGTCACTACCAAAGTTTCAATCTCTAATGATTTAAATGAAGTTCAGATCTTCGGCCAAAACAGAGTTCTGAAAATGAATAAGCTAAATTTGATTTTCAGAACAAAAATATCTTCTTCTTTTCTGCATATGAACTCTCATTGTTCAAAGAGGTTATCAGATATGATCTCGCGGTAGCAAAATACAAGATATTGGTCTTAACTCATCAAAACTTGTTATTTGCTCAGCCAAGAATAGATCAGTGGTCTAAGATGTTGTCTTCACATTGCAGTAAGACATAACAACCCAATTTGTGCTTTCGACTTCCTTGAGAAAATGTCCAAGATCATTAATGAAACATGTAGTTCTGACTTTTAACATCAAGTAGTTCCCTGTTTTAACAGCTATTTAGTTTTGCTGATCCCACTGTTTGGACTACTAAATATGCAATGTTATATAAGTTGCGGAATGTTACGTAATTCTTGTTTTTGTTTCACAGTGGATATATGGCACCAGAGTATGCAATGCACGGGCAATTTTCCGTAAAGTCAGATGTTTTTAGCTTTGGAGTACTAGTCTTAGAAATTTTAAGTGGCCAAAAAAACACTTGTTTCAGAAATGGAGAATCGGTGGAAGACCTTTTGAGTTTTGTAAGTAACCTGGCCAATCAATCAAGTATTAATTTTGTGAAATGGTCAGAGAATATCATCTTATTCTGATAATTGAACTATCACATTCACATACAGGCTTGGTTAAGCTGGCGTAATGGAACAATTATAGATTTTGTAGATCCAATGCTGAAGGAAAGCACAGGACTGATTCGTGACATAATGAGAAACATTCACATAGCTTTATTGTGTGTTCAAGAAAGTGTGGCTGATAGACCAACCATGGCAGCTGTTGTTCTCATGCTCAGTAGCTTTTCGTTGAGTCTTCCAATGCCTTCAGGGCCAGCATTCTATATGCACAGTAATATTACCGCAGAGACGTCGCTTATTAAAGAATACAACACAAGAATGACAGACTCTAGTGATCTAGCCAAAAGTAAATCTATTGGTTCATCACGAAATGAGGCATCCATATCTGAGTTATATCCTCGTTAACATCCTTAGTATGATAACCTTTTTCTCTGAGTTTACTTATTTTATGTGTTGGTACCACTTTTAGTGTACGTGTAGTCTAGCTAACAATAATTATTATAAAGTTTATATGTAATAGTAACACTCTTTTTAATACAATGCATAGTTTTAAAATGAGTAGTTATTTAACTAAGAAAACAAGAGGAAAGGAAAAGGTCTCAATTTCTAGGAACTCCTTCCATACCACTTTATACTATTTGAAGAGCCAAATAACTTTTCGTTTACTAAAATCATGTAAAATGTTACATATTTTGTTTCATATTAATTGATTATCTTTCATTTTATATGATATTTAAGAAATTATATATCAAATAATTAATTTCTCTAATTCATTCTGATGTACATTAAGATATTCAAAAAGTATTTATAATAGGAGTTAAATGAATTTTTTAAATTCAATTTAATAAATAGATAAATAATTCGAAACATATAATTTTATTAAGATAGCCAACTATATATTATAGTAGGGATGGAAAAGTATGTATGTAATTAGAAACGTTCAAGTAAAAGCAAGTACAAATTTTGCACCTCGGTAGCTTGTTCTTATTCTCTCATGTCCCATCACCCCCATAAAAGACTTGTTAACTTTGAAGTTTGAATTTGTCAACTTCTGAGATGTAGACCTAGTCAAATGAAATATTTGTAGCCTTTTTCTCCGAGTTTACTTATTTTATGTGTTGGTACCACTTTTAGTGTACGTGCCTTGGACTTGTAGTATAGCTAGCAATTATTGTAAAGTTTATATGTAAAAGTAACACTCATTTTAATACAATATATAGTTTTAAAATAGTTATACTCTTTTTTTTTTTCTAATTACTTGTTCATATTTTCTTTTATAGTTATTCCTATCTATTTTGCAATTTAAGAAAAGACAATTTTTTTTTTACCTATTATACCCTTAATTAATTATTTTGAAAAAGGTCAAACTTTTTGAAAAATCTTATATTTTTAATTCATCCACTTTATAATTAATAGAGATAAATTGATAAACTCACTATGTCAATTATTATTTTTTAATAAGTGTCAATTTGAAAATTGACAAATAATCAGGGATAGAAAGTATTTAACTTGGAGCTAAATACATCCGTATTCATTTTAACTGGCTTGGTTTGTAAGAAAGCATCATATGGGCATCTCACACGTCTTTTCAACTTTATGGACGGGCAAAAGGAAAAAGAAAAGAAGAGGAAAGGAAATAGTCCCTATTTCTAGGAATTCATTACGTACAACTTTATACTATTGGAAGAGCCAAAATAACTTTTCGTATTATGGAATCATATAAAATTTTACTCATTCCGTTTCATATTGATTGATTATCTTTTATTTTATGTGGTGTTTGAGAAATTACATATCAGATAACTAAATTTTTCTTTATTTTTATTGATGTACATTACGATAATTCATGAAAAATATATTTAATAACATAGGGCACATAAATATATATCATTAGAATAGATACAAAATAATGAACTCCTGATTATTTTTTAAAAAATTTCTAAATTTATTTAGGCTTTCAAAAAGTACTAATAATAGGGGTAGAATGAATTTTTTTAAATTAATTTTATTTTAATTTAATAAATAGACACATAATTCAAAACATATATTTTAATAAGGTAGCCAACTACTCCCTCCGTCCCATTTTATCACTTTTTTACTTTGCACTTGTATTAAGAAATGATTTAACTTTACCCTTCTACCCTTATTTAATTTTTTTGATACTCAAGTTTTCAATCAATGAATATGAATTAATTTATTTTGATTAATTAATTTAACCAATAAACATGAATAATTTATTTAGTTTTTCTAAGTTGATCAAATATATATTTTCAAGACTAATGACTCACAAGAGTAAAAAAAGGATCAATATGGTAATTTATGAATTGATTTTATAAAATGACAAGTATTATAAATCAACTATTTAAAAAAATGCATGACATATTAAATGGGACAGAGGAAGTATTATGTACGGACAGAATAGTCTGTAATTAGAAACGTTTTCACCTCCGTAGCTTGTTCTTATACTCTCCTGTCCCATCACCCCATAAATTAGACTTGTTGAATTTGAAGATTCAATTTGTCAACTTTTGAGATGTAAACCAAGTCAAAAGTTGACATTTGTTTCTTTAATCCCTTTTTAGGAGCTTTCAATTATTTTTTTTCCCAAGTTTATGATGACACCCCTTTGTTGGAAATTTCACAAATATTTAAGTGTATTGTCGGAAGAGCAACAGAGAAGATACAAGGACATACTCCCTCGTCCCTAATTACTTGTCCAGTTTTTCTTTTATAGTTGTTTCTAATTACTTGTTTATTTTGACAAATCAAGAAATGATAAATTTTTTTTATCTATTATACCATTAATTAATTATTTTGAAAAAGGTAATACTTCTTGAAAATCTAAAGTTTTTAATTCATCCACTTCATAATCAATTGGGATAAACTAGTAAATTCACTATGTCAATTATTGTTTTCTTAATAGGAATTTAAAAGTGAATAAGTAATTAAAGACAGGAAAAATATAATATAAATGATCCACTGCAGCGAACTTGAGCAATTTTTTAAAATTCTTTTGTAGAGTAATTCCCAGAAATTCTAAAGAAATTATTGTGGATTAAAATTTAAAACACTAGGGGAAAAAAAAAGGAAAATATGGTAGTTGTAAAAAATAAGTTGGATTTCATTTTCTGGAGTAATCATATAAAGTTCAAAATTTGCAGCCTTGGTGGCTTCTTGGTATCCACTCCTGTCCCAATTCCCATTATTCCCATAAATTAGAGTCTACGAATTTCATATTTTCTAAGGAGAAAAATTTGGCAAATCCAAAGATATAGACCAAGTCATCAGAAGTTTTATCTTTTGCTAGGTCAATTCACTCAAAAGGTCACTTAAGCCAGAAAGTGATAATTCTGGTTCAGTTTTTATAAAATTAATGAATGATTTATTATTTTATGTCTATTTTATTCTTATTTTTAAATATTTAAAAGACTTTATTTAATAAGGATAATTTGGTAAAATTATATCTATCATTTACTAGTATTTCTTAATTTCTGTCCTAAATTACAATTATTATTAGATAGAAAGAATATTAGGTACAACTAGTTTAATGACCTGACGCATGTTTTTTTAAGCTAAAAAAATAAAAATAAAAATAAAAGCCAACTCATTTTTGCCTTTGATGTCAAAATATCTAAGCTTTCTACAAATGGAAATGCAAGTTAGACAACCATGACCATGGCTATTCAGAAGGTGCTACTCTTTCTGTTTTTGCATAAACAAGTTCTCAATATCGTAGCGCAGCTTCCTGATTTACGATACCGTTCATGCTGTAAGAATGGTAACTATACTGAGAATAGTACCTACAAGAACAATCTAAACACACTCCTCACTTCCTTTTCCTCAAAAATAGATAACTATGGTTTCTACTATGATTCCATTGGCCAAAACACCGACGAGGTCAGTGGTATTGTGCTATGTAGAGGAGATGTGGAGCTAAAATAATGTCGCAGTTGTATCCATAACGCTGCTCAAAAACTTGTACAGTTATGTCCTACCCAAAAAGAAGTTATTGGTGGCTATGATGAATGTTTGTTGCATTACTCGAATCTATCCATTATAAATACTCAATCGTTGTCTGTTCAATATTTTCGTCGGAATACTGTGAATGCCTCAAAACCCGAGGAATTTAACCAGGAACTGGGTAAATTACTGGAAAATTTACGAGACCGTGCTGTAAATGGTGGTCCCTTTCGAAAATATGCTAGTGGTAATGTGACAGGTCCAGATTATCAGACTATATATGCACTTGTGCAGTGTACTCCTGATTTATCTCCTCAGAATTGCTTAACTGACGCTTATGGAACCATGCCTCAATGTCCTTGCCTGGGAAAGAGGGGTGGAAGAATAATTGGGCCTAGGTGCAACTTCCGTTGTGAAAGTTCCCGTTTCTTCGTTGATGTGCCGTTGGAAGCTCCGCCACCTGCAGGTAAATTATATTTTTCCACTTTCATTTGAAGACATATGTACCTAAGTAGATACTATAAAGTTTAGTTACCTTATTTAACAATTTAATTTAATCAAACCTATAGACGAGATGGTTGCAAATATTAAATATGACATAAGAGCAGACACATAAAAAGAATTAGACATGCACATGAATAATGAATCGATGTATTGAAACATAATAAGGTGAATAAAATATGTCATCTCTAAGTACAATAATTTAAGTTTTTTCCCGACATGTGTGGAACTGACTAAAAGTACACTACCTTGTTAGAGAAGTCAGACAATTTTTGTTTTAGTTTTGCAGTGGGTATATGGCTCCAGAGTATGCAATGCAGGGGCAATTTTCAGTGAAATCAGATGTTTATAGCTTTGGAGTACTAGTCCTGGAAATTATAAGCGGTCAACGAAACAAATGTTCCAGAAACGGAGATTTTGTGGAAGACCTTCTGAGCGTTGTAAGTAACTAGCTGGCCAATCAATCAATTAAGTATTCCTCAATTCCAAACTAGTTTACTAATTGAAACATTCAAAAGAAAAATTAATTGCTATTTAGACAAACACTTTGTATAAAAAATGCCATCAAATGTCTTTCTCAAGAGGAATGCATAATGTGAATCAGAGGTAGTATAATTTATGATTTTGTGATGCCTGATCTATCACAGGCTTGGTTGAACTGGCGCGAAGAAACAATTTCAAATTTGATAGACCCTATGCTGAGGGGAAGCTCAGGACCTGTTGGTGACATAGTGAGATACATCCACATTGCTTTATTGTGCGTTCAAGAAAATGTTGCTAATAGACCAAACATGGGTGAAGTACTTCTCATGCTCAGTAGTCACTCTTTGAGTCTTCCAGTTCCACACAACGAAGTAAACCCACAGATTTTACACTTTGGAGATGTCAATTCAACAATTTCCGAAAATAAAACAATATGTTCTTAAGGAAATCAGGATTTGATAACTGAGTTGCATCCTCGATAAAACATCCATACATATAGTGCTAGAAGTCTCTCTATATATATGCAAACGTGTATCATTCATTTATAGGTCTGGTGTAAACCCCGAATGCGAATATGTTGTTACTTAATAAATTTTCTTATTTACTTTGCTATT